TTTTTTTTTTACACATTATATATATATATATATATATATATATATATACAGTATGTGTGCATGTGTGTATAACATTCTCTGAAATATATAATAATTTCACATAATATAACTCTAATACATAATTATAATAATTTCACATAATATAATGTAATGTATAATATATATATATATATATATATATATATAATATAATAATTTAACATAACATATTAATACTTTTATATTTATTTATTTTATATGTATTTAATTATAATAATTTATAATATTATTTAAAATATATGAAAGTATATAAATAATATGTAATCAAATATGATGGTTTGCACAGGGAATGCCTCTTTCCTTAAGGTGATTAATACTTTTTACTTAAAAAATACTATTTTTTAACAAGTTTACACTAAAAGTACAAACACAAATTGGCTTTTATATTATATTAATTGTTATTAATGGAGAAATTCTTTATAAGGTAATTCAAACTTTTACTTCTAAACATAGAATATTTTACAGTAAAATTACATTTTAAAATGACAATGACAGTTTTAAAATATAATCTCATTTTTTTGTACTGCATAAGGTGATTGACAGTTAACAATTTAACAGGTTTTTACTGTTGTACTGTATTTTACTGTATTATGTTTCCATTAAAATCATAATATTTGTAATATTTATAAAATGTATATTTTTAAAATGTCATATTCTTTTATTTTACAAAATTTAAAATCTCTGTAGTCTTAACATCATAGAGAATGCTAGATTACATTGTCTTAAATAACATACATTTTTACATGCTAGACCGAGAAAGGCAGATAATAATTAATAAATCTATACTGATAATCACCAGGTGTGACTTGAAACCTCAATGTCGTAAAGTAGGCTTAAATGGACACCAACAGTGTCAGCTTTACTGAAGCCAGTGCCAACAAGATATACTATATATTGACTTTTTTATGAGTGGCAGCAGTCAATACGTCATATGTATCTTGGCATTAAGCCATATATGTACTGCATTACTACTGTAGCAGATATTTTACAGAGTATAATAAAACACTTTGCTATGCAGTGGTGGCAGTGGGTCCTTGTTTTTATTCCATTTGCCTTGGGGAGCCATGTATACGGCATGAAATATGATTTAAATTGTATAACAAAACGTGAGGATATGTAGTCACAGCAATTATTAGAAATGAAGCAGCTGTATTGAGTTTCAGGTGGTGTTGAATGACCTGCCTGGGTCTGTGCTATTAAAGTTCCCTCCATAACAGTAATTAAGCCTCTAAAACTGCATCTGCTTTGTCTTTCAAACAGGGCCAAGGGAAAAAAAGATGAAAGGATGCAATAGTTTGGAGACCATCCATCCATACGCATGAGGTGTCACAGGACTACAGGAGACACAATGGTTGAGGAACAAATGGTGCGTGCTATAAATATATTCTATGAGTATCAAAGGGGCCCTAGTTTGATTTCAATAGACATTATACTGCGGCTCACTGGCGTTGGTCTGTGAATGATACTTGAAAGGGAATAAAGGGTGACATTTACATACAGTATACATTTATTTTCAGATGTTTGACTAGTACGGCTAAAAACGATTAACAAATCAAAAAACAAGTCACAAATCAAAAAAAGTCACACACTGTGTTCTAGTACATTAGATAAATGCCTTTCACCCAAATGTTATAACATAAATATTTATAATTATATAGATATTTATATTTACAATTATGTATTTATAGTATATTTTGTTCATTTATAAAAAGAAATACATAAAAGTAATAATAGCATTTATAATATTATTCCTAAATACAACATATAATTAGCTATTTATTTAAAATAAGTCACACACCTCACCAAATGGTTAGAGAAATGTGTCGCTTGAAAATTTTTCTGACCACTGCATTTTTGCATTTTTGTGAAGCCAAACAGTGTGGTGTGTGTGATTGATGTTCTAGCCTCAAATGATGGATGATCAATACATCTGCATTGATTTTTCTGACTCCTGTGCATAGTTTGCTATGAGCCATAATGTGAGGGTGGAAGGTGGAAAAAATAAATGAAATAGTGACAAAGCAATAGACACAATTTAATAAGGAGTTGTAATCTATTGCCACTGCAGTTCAATAGAAATGTGCTAGTCAGCCGCCTACATCAGTGCACCCTAACAAGTAAACATCTTGCTGCTATGCCTTTCTGTCTTAACCACAGTTTGGGACCAGCTCATACAGGTTAATGTTTTTATTAAAACGTCCTATATGCTTAACCATTACAGTAACACTCTTTTTTATTTATTTCATGAAGACCTAGATAACCTGTGATTCCTTATTACATACAATAATTTATTTATAGTATAATTAACTTTTTTGGTCCCACTTTATATTTGGTGGCCTTAACTACTATGTGCTTACATTTAAATTAATCATTTGGTACAATGCACTTATTGTGTACGTACTTGTTTTTACATTGTACTTACATTTAAAAAAATACCTGCATGTAATTACATCTGCAATTAATTTCTGTAATTACATTTATAATTACACTGTTGACCCATCCCTTACACCTAGGGATGTAACGATTACCGGTTTGACGATAAATCGTGATAAAACACGGTTAGTATTACTGTTTCATATTTGAATTATCACTATAACCGTATTCGATTACCGCGATTTGAACTGAGGATAAATAAATACTGTACTGCACAGGGCTCCAGTGTGCGACCAAATGGGCGCATTTTGCGGTAATTTTTTTCTGCCGGTGCGACTAAATTTTGTGTGCAGTCGCACTGGTGCGACCACCGCATTGTTTAACTCATAAGCGCTGCATTTCTGTTGCATGTGAGAAACATCAAACGGCAAACGAAACTGAAAGCATAACGAAACCGCGCGACTCGTTTGAGCTGCGCAGCTCTTCGAGTGTAGAGCCTTGTTTATACTCGTCGCGTCAGGAGCGCGAAGCTGCGTGCAGCAAAAATGACGCGAATATTGAGGAAACGATGGATGGGTTTCATGCTAAAGTAAAGTAAAATACCGCTTCTTAAACCAAAGGTGAACATGTTGGTATTCTTGTGGAACAAAAACATGCAAGCAAGTTTAGTTTTACTTTTCTTTTTGTTTTCATTTTAAAAAGCTTGTTATCTTTGCTGTTTACCCCACGTTATGCTATGGAGGCTCTCTTTTTTATTTATTTGATTCCTCAGTGTTTGCTAAACGATCTGTAATTTATTAGTCGGTATATAATACAGCATGTGGGTGTGTGCCATGCCTCATCTTATTCGTTTTTGTTAAACGTTTTGTAAGCTAGTTTGTCATTGTATCTTAAGAAATTTTCATACCGTTACATCCCTACTTACACCCTAACCCACCCTTAAACCTACCCATACCACCAAACCTGTCCCTAACGTTACTCGTATCCCACCTCAATACAATATGAACATGATAAGTACATTGGGTCACACTTTATTTTAAGGTCCAATTCTTGCTATTAACAAACCATTAACTACAACTTTTGCCTCAAACTCCCAATTTGCTGCATATTAATAGCTAGTAAGGTAGTTGTTACGTTTAGGTATTGGGTAGAATTGGGGATGTAGACTATGGTTATGCAGAATATGTGCTTTATAACTAATCAGCATCCAATATGTTAATAACAGGCATGATAATAAGCAACTAATTACTAGTGAAATCCCTATACTAAAGAGTTACTAAAAATTCTTATTAGGTTGTGGTTGTGGTTGTGGTTATCAGACAATTACAGTTAAAAAAATCACCTGAATTGGTGCTGGTCATAAAAGCAATTTCTAGTTTGAGAATTGGTCCCTATACTAAAGTGTTACCGTACACATTGTACGTCTTTTTTGATGTAAGTACATAGTAGTTAAGACACCCTTTTTATGCCTGTAAAGCCACAGAATGAGACCAGTTTATATCGGTTTCTGTAAATAGTATGTATTTCTCAACATTAAAAAAGTCCTATTAAACATGTATTAAAAGAATATATATATATTATGATTAATTTAATTTAATT